ACTCGGCAGGCAAAATGATATCTCCCGCTTGTGTGTCCCAAAAGGTCTGCCCTCGAGATCCTAATCGAGCATGCTCCACTGCCCGAGTCAATCTCGTCTCGTCCCCCTCGGGTGGCCCTCCGGCTTGAGCATTTGTCACAATAGCATCCTCTCAATGCAAAGATATAAGTGTCTCGGTTTCAGTTTTGATCTTGGATAGCGCAACCACCAACTAAAAATGGAGACCTCTGTACTTGTTACTATCCTCCCTCGCCTCACTAAGATGACGCCCAACTAAGGTCACCTTCTCCTGGAGGGCATCCCTCTTGGAAGTTATCTCTCATTCACGCCGTTTGAGTTCGGGGATTTCAGAGTCTCTGGCCCGAAGCTCCTCCTTCAGTAAGGCACCTTCCTTCTCAAACTGCACAAATCAAATCCAAGACGTTAAAACATCGGGATCTGGCAAAAACATTCAGATAATAACAAACGAGGACTAGATAACTTGTTTAGTAAGAAGAGCCTTATCACACTCGAGACGGGTCACCTCGACCTGATACCGGGTGAAAGTCTGATTATAATGCGCCATGGCCTGAAGCCACGAAAAAAGACAAGTTAGAGAGACAAAGGTCAAGGCAACCGAGGCCCGAGCGATAGGCAGGGTTTGCAAAGATTACATGCTCGTAACGCCTGCTCATCTCACCAAAGACAAGGGAAGCATCGATCTCAGGGACTCCCTCGGGAATGGTTGGAAGCCTTTCGTGCACATCTCCGCCTTTGACAGGCATCCCCGCATCGGGAGATTCTTCGTGCGGGGAATCTTGCACTCCTTTGGAAGGAAGGGTCGTTCCCTGAGGAGAATCAATCACGACCACGTCATTGGCAGGGTCTGTCAGGACCACCCCTTGTCTATTCAGGGGCCCAGAACTAGGCCCCTCCAAACCACCTAACGAAGGCACCCCAGACCGAGGGGAACTCTTACCACTGAACAGCTCGGGGGCAGAACCTGATACTCCCTCAGTTGTCTCTCCTCCATGAAGTGGGATCGCAACGACATCAGCCTCCAGCTCGGAAGCCACCAGGTCTACGGCACCAGGATCGGCCAGGTTTCCCGCCGTTTCCAGGGTTAGAGCTGTCGGGTCTACCTTAGCTCCTTCTGCCTTGATCTTCTTAGATTCAGAAGGCCTGTCCAATGGATCCCTTTGTCTCTTTTTCCCTTCATCGGGTACAAAATCGCCCTCCATACCGGGCCTGGGATAAATCACGCCACACTCGCTCAACATATGGGCAAATTGAGTCCAAGCGGCCAACCCAACCGGGAGGTCCGAAACCGCACCAGGGTAAATTGTTGGGGCTGCATTAGCAAGAAAAGTTGAGTGCGTTGAAGAACGTATTCAAAGAGAAGCGATGGAATACTGGATAGTGTGTCACCTTACGTTCTATATTCCACCTCTCGAGAAACGGCATCTTTTCCGCCGGGATCAGGTCAGAAGTCCTTACTCGGACAAAGCGGCTTATCCGTCCTCCATTCTCGGGCTCCTCGGTGCAGGCAAAAAGGGCCCTCGAGGCTCGGCAACAGAGTTTGATTAGGCCCCCACGGAAGAGACGAGGGCTGTACATCCTGATCAGATGATCAAGGGTGAAGGGCACCTCCCCGATCATGTTCTCGTAGTACCTGATCATGTAAACAACACGCCAGAATGAAGGATGAATCTAGCCAAGGGTCACTTGGCATCGTTGGTAGAAGTCGAGAATCACGGGGGCGAAGATGGCCCCACCAGCCCTAGAGTAAACGAATAAGTGTACACACTGAGGAAACCTATTTTGTGTGTTATAATATCCTCCTCCCAAGAAGGGATCTCCACAAGCACCGTGTCCCCCCAGAGACAATCATCTTTCACTCTTCCGACGTCTGTTATCGAGCTAATATACTGAGTCACGGGCTCACTTCGCCCCGGCTTCGAAGAAGGCCTCTCGATCTTGAAATCAGAAGCCATCACAAAAGATCCTGGAACGCATTCCTCAGCACGAGGAGGCATTGTCACTTCACCTTGAGATAAAAGATAAGAGGATGAGGCCACATTCTCCTGGGAAACAGAGGCGGAAGCTTTCGCCATTGCTAGAAAATTCCGGGAGAGAAAGGGGAGTCGTGTTCCTAGGAATGAATAAGGGTAAAGGAAGAAGGAAGCTTTTTTGGGTTTTGGAAATGTAATGAGTTGGGAAGAACAAGGAGAGGAATACTTATAGAAGCCCCGCGTGCGCATTGAAGAAGGCCAAAGGGCAGCTAACTACCATAATCAATGCAGAGGCCTTCGAGGGCTGCGTGTGCACTGTCTTTTGGCACCTTGTAATTGCTGTCATCGCAAGAATATAGGAGGGGACAAAGGTTCAAGGTCGTTTCTTATTACTTTCACTTTAAGAAACGCGGAGACTATTTGTGTACGGTGAATCGGAGGGTCCGGTTTCTTGTTATCGAGGCACCTCAGAAGATCATCTCGAAGCCTCGAGGCTTCAAGGTTACGGTCGAATTTCCCCTTCGAGGTTCGTGATGCCTGACCTTGGGATAATGTTGACCACAACTATGGTAGGAGTGGGGAGTTCCCAAGGTACACGGCTAAGACTACCAGAGCCTAGTGGACTATCCTAACCCTGGATCAGGGTGTCATCTAGCTGTCCCATCCCTTTATCTTTATAATTAATGTATTTTGTACTATGTTGGGATTCCCCTCCTATATAAAAGAGACCCTTCTCATCTTGTAAAGGCATGTTGCTTTAGTTGCTCCACACGAAATATACAAGAACATTCTATTTGCTCTCTAAAATACTCTTTTGATATTATTGCTTTCATTTATTATCTTCATATTTGTTCATCATTTATTGCTTATTACTGGCCATAAAGAGCCTCCATTAATTTTATTACAAATGTTAGACACACTTCGACTGCCTTCGATAGCTCACAGTCGAGCTCCGGAATCAACCTCAAGGCCCCGAATCGACAAACTCGAGGCCCCGATAATTAATCTAACGGTTTGATTATTGCCCTACCCTTAACTCTCATTAAGTTTCTAAGTCTCATATACATAGCATCTACTGCTTAACAACTAGCATAAAAATAGATCATGTATTTTTAGAGTCTCATATTCAAATTTAATTGTTATTATCATTTTCACGATAAACACTTCATTTACCAGAAACTTGTAAGATATTCAATTGACAAATGGTTTAATTTCTTGTATATATTGACGGGGTAAAGAATTTTAATTCATACGAGTAGGGTAACTTTTCGGTTTGCCTCGGAGACATTATTTTCTTTAGAATTTAGCTGCGATAGTGGTAAAAATAAAATAAAAATCACAGGTCTATTTAATATAACTAATTGTATCATGTCGCGTTGATCTATTTTTAGGCTACCAATTATCATATCAAGCTTGTTACGAAACTACATGATGTGAGCAAGGGTAGAGCTAGGTGTAAAAATTGCACGGGGCGTCCTATTTGGTCGCCCCCATTTAACCTATACTCATTTTTTTAAAAACTTTTAACTTGTACCTGCTTTTTAAACAATTTCAGCCCCTTTCTCCTCCTACTTCTCCTTCTCAAAGTTATATCCGCCCTCAACCTCTATCTTTTATGGAAGCGCCAATCCCAATTAGTTTACTAAGTACACTCATCTTGGTCCCATGATTGCACCACCAGTGTTCATTATTCACTTGATTAAGACTAGATCATACTTCTGCGAAAGTTGGCAAAATGAATGCTGCTTTGTGAATCTGAAAAAAAAAAAGATAAACAAAAACTTCAGATCTAGAGTTCTAGAACTTCAGTTCTAGAGCTGAAGTTCGCCAGTTACAAAACAAAAATTTCAACTCTAGAGCTGAAGTTCGCCAGTTACAAAAATAAAAACTTCAGCTCTAGATTTGAAGTTTGTCAGTTAGCCAGTTACAAAAATAAAAACTTCAGCTATTACAAATAAAAACTTCAGCACACTTAGTTCAGCACACTTGCTACTTTAGTCCCGTCTACTAGAATGCTGAAATTTTGCGTGATTGCCTTTGCTACTTCAGCCCCGTATGCTGAAGTTATGCGAAAAAGTGGGTACGCTTGTAATTTTTTTTTTTGCAAAGCGGGCACAAGTTAAAACGTGACCCAAAAAGCGGGTATAGATGCAAATGCCCCGAGCTAGGTGGAGGTAATAAGTGGGTTCAATCGAACCTCCTTCCCGAAAATTATACAACATAAATAAGGTTAAACGTTTTTTTTAATGTACAGTCAAACATCTCTATAACAACCTCGTTTGTTCCGGATATTTTTGATGTTATAGCGAATTGCTGTTATAGAAAACATATATTATAATAGAATATGAGATTTAATTCTGGATTAATTGGACTTTTATAGAGAAGTGTTGTTATATAAGGATATTGTTATATAGATGTGACTGTATATATATTAGTGTTGAAACCCATTAGCTTCTTTAAATGTTAATTGTTTTTATTTTTTGAATTCTCTAACTGAGAAACATATTTCCGCCGGTAGATATAATAGGTCAAGCCAATGTAATCGTGTAAAAAATTTATAAACCGTGGTGCGTAAAATTAATTTTTTTTAACTTTATCCATCATTCGACCTTCATTTGTCTTACATAAGTTTGTAATTAACACGAGGGAATTATCGTTATTATTTCTTAGGTAGTGGAAATTGAATAGCATGATGACGGACCAGAGAATCAAAAGGAAGTTGCCTTGAAGTTTCCATAGAGTTCATGATTTCAAACTTTTCAAGCCTATCCAAATGGAACATGCTTTACGTGTCAAACAATTATAGCCGGATTTTATTGACTACTCCCCAATCACTGCAACTTTCAGAGTACAACTTTCTGACGTTTGATTATTCTTTTCTTCTTGGATCTTGCTAACCATTTCAAATCTTATTTTTGTTTTCTTTTCTTTTTCAACTTACGAAAGAGCATAAGAAAAAGCAAAAAAAAAAGCAAAAAAAAAGGCATTCACATAGAGACAATAAATAAATTTAATCCAAAGTACGAGAAACAGAAGATGATATAATTAAGTAACTACGTACATTGCCTTTGCTTTTGTGTGTATACCCAAAGTCCAAAATCAGAATGAAAGAATGAAAATAACTTAAGTTTCCCTTTTCCCCCCAGATAATAATACAAGCAAAAAGGTATGAACATGTAAATTCTTTCCAAGTTTCAGCCCCTAATGTCCTAAGAAAGGGATAATACAAAAAAAAAAAAAAAAAAAGACCAAAAAAAAAATGGATAAAGAAGACTATTGGTAATTGACAGCAAGTTTACAAAAGAAAATAATATGCTGATATTATTTCCTTTATTAGTTCCCTGAGAAACTGCTAGTCTTGTTGCTATTGCTTGTGGGACCGGACGTGGGGTTGTTGCCATTGTTCGGATGGGAACCACCGATGATGGAGGAGATGGCGGCGGCAAGGGCGGCAGTAAAGTTGGGGTCGGCAGTGATGGCGGCCGTGGCGGCGGAAAGTGTATCAGAAAATGAGGGGTGGTGAATATTGTCTTGAGAGACTTGTAAACCTGAAAATCTTGATTGGTTATACAAAGCCTGGCCCAAAACCTGAGGCATTTGTGGAGCTGACATTGAACCAACAAAATTCGGATGATTAAGACCAGCTGGTAAAGGAACTTGGAATTGTGTAGCTGGATTTCTTTGATGATAATTAGACATTGCATTTGGATTTTGAGTAAGGTCCAATGTTACAGTAGGAAATGGAGCTGATGCTGAAATAGTTGCCATATTTGATGAACATGGAAGAATGGTCCTTGCTAGGAAATTTGTATTCATTAAACCATCAGCACTTGGCATTGAACCAGACAGCAACATGTTTGCTGCTGCTGAAGTGGTGGATGCCATAGCCATGGCTGCTGGTGGTAGTGGGTGGTTATGTGTACCTTCATATGTTGTTATTAAGATTGTTCTGTCCTCAGCACACCTTTGCACCTGAACATTTATGTCAATATTACACATTAGACTTACTTCAATTTTATGGGTAAAGGTGATCTGATTGTGTAAAAATGGTATATATTACTTAAACTCGTAAATTAAACATAGATGAATGTACCTGTTTGCGCACTGGACAACCAACAGCCATGGTGCAACGATAATAAGCTCGTGGACATGGATTACCTTTTGCCATCTTCTGACCATATTTTCTCCACTGGCAACCATCACTTATCTACAAAATTTTCAGACACATGACTTAGTTTGATGCAGAAATAATTAACATGTTACTACATAACAGTACATAAAAACTATGCTTAACAAGTTATGTACCATGGGAGCTTCTGATCGGGCACGGACAGAAACACGAGCTTTCCTCATGGTTGCTTCTGTTGTTTGTTCAACAGGTTTTGAGGAATTCATCAATTTAGGAACCTTGTTGGGAACCCAACTCTCAGATTCTGGGCTTTCTTCCCTGCCAATTGCCTTATCTCTTGACATTTCCATATTGTTACGAGGTGATCCAGAATGTGTTCTCTCTTCTGATGTTGAATGAGATTGAGATGGCTCGTCCACTGGATCAGCTTTCGCACTACTTGGACCTAGTTCCATGAATTGTCTTGGAACTATGTCCCCATCTTTTTCTTGATTCTTCTCTTCAGACTTCACTTCAACAACCTAAAGAAATAATAGATGATTATCTGATTGTGGAAATATCTATTAAAGTCGATAAAATTTAAACTTTAGAATTTACTGTTTTACTAAAGGAAGATTTTGGAAACTACCTCATGGTTATGTGGACTTTCAGTTCTTGAAATCAGCTGTTGTTGCTGTTGCATGAGGGTAACAAGATGCATCTGAAGTGCAGAATAACTGTTGGTAACTTGAGTAAGCATCCCTTTTAGACGTTGATTTTCAGTATTCATCCTTTCCAGCTCAACTTGCAATTGTGCCAACTGCTATATGTAAATTAAGACAATAGAAGATATAATTCAATTGACTAATCAAAATTACATGTATGTGCATGACATAAAACACACAGTATCAAAGTTTCATTAATGGAAATTTGAAGTCGACTAGTTTAGTTTTTATTTTATTTTTACTTTTGCGTTAAACTAATAAGTTATCGTCAAATTACCTCATTTTTAGTTCTTTTTTCTTCAACTTCTGATGAAATCCCATCATCTACTGTTGATTGATCACTAATTCCAGTATTTGCAGTCACAAGTTGCAAACCAGTCTACATAAAATTAAATAACAAACAATTATTATATGATCACTTGAAATTATTCAAGAAATGATGGAGCCATAATTTAAAGATAGTAGATTATGAGCTTAGTAATATGTATATCTGAATCAATCTATACTTGTTTTTTTGTACATATATGTAAAATCTAACCCAAAATGAATAAGATAGAAAAAAAAAATAAAAAAAAGGGATCACTTACATGTACAAACAAATCAGTCCTCATAGTATTATTACCCTGAGAATTCTCCTTCTTTACAACGACATCATGAATAGACTTCTTCTCAGAGAAGAAGTCAACTTCATTAACCATGCCCGGCCGTTTCTCGTCAGCCGGAAATTCGGCTCCGGAAAACATTTCACCACCCTTGATATTGTTCAATCTTGGGCTTAAGTTAAAACCAAAAAAAGGCTTGTTCTTGAAAAAACCTACTTTATCAGAAGAACTTTCAAGGGTAAGACCCCATCCTTTGTCCATAAAATCAATATATTTTAAAGAATAAATAAGCTGGAGAATTAATATGGAGCAGCAGATAATCAAAAGCCAAGGAAGAAGCAAACTAGAGAGATGAAAAAAGTAGGAAAATGTGGAGATAGAAAGATGATAATGAAGAGTCTAAGAAGTTTTTAGCAGATGCAATGGACGCAGCTATAAAAAGACTTGAGGTGGTGACTTCTGCGAAGGTTACGTAGACCAAGAAAACTACGTTGATTAAGTACACAAAAATAAAAATAAAAATAAAATAAAAGAAATACCTTACCCTCCCAAAAAATGTCACTGTTACTGTTTGGACACTCAAACAATTTTTTACTTAACTACAACTTTTTTCAAGCAATTCCAAATAGGTCTACCATAAAAGTTACTATAATTTATAATAAAGTTTTATGAAAACTAATACTAATATGTTTGTTTAAAATATTTAGAAGTTAAAACCTGAATTTATCCAAAATATAAATAAGTTAATCCTTTGTAACAAGTAGAAACCATTTTTCATCTTTGAAATTTTGCAGAAGAGTTTTCAGAAAAACTATTTTCAGCAATAAAGAAAAAGGTGTAGTTTTTCCAAAAAGTTGAATAAATCATTTGATTAGCTTTAATTTTTAAGGAAATTATAAAATCAAAAATCTTTCTTGGTTTTATGATTGAAAATTTATTTTTTCAAAAAGTTGAATTATTTTTCAAGAACTCTTCTATAAGCAAACACATGAAATTATTTGATCGTGTGAAGTGAAAATTGAGAAATGAGAAAGAGAAAAGGGTGTTATGGTGAAAATAAGGCAACGTAAGATGGTGCGTCATTTTATCTTGACAGGTGGCAGAAAGTGGGACCCAAAAGGTGAGTTAAAAGCGGAGAGGGGTTTCCGTCTCAAATGGTCAAGACTGAGTTTGACTCGTTCCTTAAAGTAAATAAAGAGAAGAAGAAATCCACCCGGCCCGAGCGGTGCGGCGCGTCCCACGTGATTAGAAAAGGAAAAGTATGAGAATAAAGTCAACGCAATTGACGGGCACACACATTGACGACTGGGTATTCTGCTAATTTTCGAAAAACATTTGCTTACTTCAAAACATATTAACTTATTACGATTAAATAATTTGATGAGGTAAAATACATATTAGGAGTACTTAATTATGATAAGTGAAAATGATATATATATATATATATATATATATGCAGACATATGTCGTGCATATATTAATTTGATATAAATATTTTGCCAGTAAATTTCATATTATTTTATTATTTATTGAATTAAATTTTATCCACATGGTAGGACAGAATATATAGTAACTTGTAAGTAATATTTACCTTATCAAACCTATATGTATATAAGATGTGAACTAATACTTCATGTCTTTGTCTACAGCTCAAACACATATAAAACACATATGTATATATGTATAATGTATGTATAAAATGGACTGTGACAAATTAAAGGAGTAATGATCCGAGCATACTCTGCACATTTAAATTGTCAAACATTTTAAGTAACAAAATTTTAAGCATGAATTGATTACTTTAAAAGATATTTTGACATTAGCTAGACTACACCAAACGTGTAAGATTTCTTTACATCATACATCCTATTCCATGTGATATACTACTTCTCTTTGTTGGGATACATAAGACGTCATGTTGAAGCTATCAGACAACAAAGTCAAGCATACTAAAATAGACATAATATTTTGATATAGTTCGGTCAAGTGATCTACATCAATCTACTAATATAGAAGAAAAAAATTATGAGTTTATTTTTCTCCTAAATGAGACTCTCCGAAATACTATATTGTGGATGATATATACGTTGTGTATGAATGAGAGATCCTCAATTTATAGAGGTCCACAATCTTTTCAAAAAAAAGGGATCTATCAAATATAGAAGAGATATATATATTTTTCCTTTTAGGAAAAGTACATTCAATTATACAAAATATTTTTCCTTCGTTCAAGTAAAAGTAAAACCTAAATATGAAAATAAAATCATGACAAAATCCTAACACTTTTTAGCTTGTCCAAAAAGAATTACATCATTTTAAATTTGGCAATTATTTAATTTTAAATTTCTTTTATTCTTAATGATATAATTTTATAATTATAAAAATTTCCATTACATATTTAAACTACAAAAATCAAGAAAAATTATAATTTTATGTTTAGTCAAACACCCTTAAATAAATTAAAACAGAAGTAATATAAACTTTAAAGTTATTGTTTTATTTTTGTCAAAGAAGAAGAGAAGAAGATTTGAAAGTGCTAGTGTGTAGCAGTCGTATATGACTGCGACATGAAATTACTTCGGACCCACGTCGTCTACACAAAAGCCTTCTCTATAAAGAAATAGCACACCAGACGCACGTTGAAGATCCCTAGGGAGGGACCATCTGTTGACTCTTTCGGCTATATGCTTCTCTAGTTTTTTGAGCTGCTTGCAACGCCCTAGGGTTTGTTATTTTAGTCATCCTATATATTTAAGATTTTAAAGTACTTATTCATTTTTAATTGGAATTGGAATATCAGGTTGGAACTCCAGAAATAAAGTCACAAGCATTTAACTTTCCAAAGTGAAATTTTCTGAAATTCAAAATAGTTATATCCAAAGACGGATATTAATACCAAGTGAAAATCTAAAAGAAAAGATTTTATATCAGTAATATACTCCCTCAGTTCATTTTTACTTGTCCAGTATTCTAAAAATAGATTTTCACTTTTACTTGTCACTTTTAACATATCAGGAGAAGACAATTTCTTTTTTCCTATTATACCTACAATATTAATTACTCATTTCAAATCATCCTCAAATTCATTAATTATATGCATCAATTAATATGGGTATGATGATAAATTATGACCTTCATTCATTATTTCTTAATGAGTATGCAAAGTCGATAGTGGACAAGTAAAAGTGAACGGAGGAACGAATATATGCGTACCTTAAAGAAAGTACAGGTGGCATGTCTTTACCTTGAATTAATGAGGGTAAGTTGGATTTGGTTCAACTTTCTTTGCAATCTAGAGATCTATTATGTCTAGTACTAGTAAGATTGTGAGGTCAATAGATAATTAAGCTAACTACTGGTGCATTAAAATCGCGTTTAAAGTCAATGAAGTGGGCTACTTGGTGAAAGTAGCCTTCCCTATCTATTTATAACAATTTAACATCATCATCTGCCTCTTAATACTCATTCTAATTAGATCGTTCCCAAATTCCAACCAGCTGTTGACTTTCGTTAACTTCTGTGATTCAATTTCTAATTTATGACGGTTGATTATTTTTTCCAATCAAATGCCCCCAAAGTAACCAGATTACGAAGGTTGATATGTTACACTGAAAATTACGAACCGTAGAGGAAAATGGAGACCTTTCATAAATTGAAATAGAAAAAAATAAAAACAAAAAAGAGGATATACCAAAGTATACATGGAACTCACGCTATTTTCCCGTTAATGAAGCAACTTTATAAATAGGTGTAGAAATTTTAGTGTTGTTATTGTTGTTGATTAATTATGGTTGAATGACAGCAATGTAATGCTGCCATTATGGGATGGATATTGGTTGTAATTGGTAGGTGGTGTAGCTTAAAAACAGCCAGTTTCTGCCCAACTTTTACCCAGAAACCGACCGAAATCGGTCTGAAATATTTTTTTTGCCCAAAAATTCAAAATTCCTTCGGTCAAAAATTTCAAATGAAATCTCCAGATTTTTGAAATTTCCGACCGAATTTGGTCAAAAACTATGAATTTAAATTTATTTATTTAAATAAATTAATAATTTAGTATAATTTACAAATAATTATATATTTAAATAAAATTATTATTTATTTAAAATTCCGACCGATTTCAGTCGGTATTTGAAAATTAAATGAATTTTTTTTTATTAATAACGACCGATTTCGGTCGGTAAATAAACTTTGACAGTCAGTCAACGCTTTGAATAATCCAATCGATTTCGGTCGGAAATTTTCGACTGATTTCGGTCGCAACATGTTAGCGACCATCATTTTTCTGACTAATAAAAAACGGCCGAAAATCGGTTGTTTTTTTACAATTTTCGATCGATTTCGGTTGGTTTTCTTGGACGAATTTAAGCAGTTTTTAGTAGTGATGCGTGGAGAAGAAATTTTCTACAAAAATATGTGGACTTACAAAACATGGTAAAAATGGGGGTGGGGTGGGGGTGGGGGTGGGGTATGTTGAAATTAACAGGGTAGTTTTCAAAATTGATGCCCCCTCCCCATGCATCTAATACTGCTTCAAGAGTAATATTTGCTGTTCCTATTCATAATTAATACGGACATAACGAAAACTTTCTTTTCTACATACGTATATAGTATCTTTATATTTGCTCTATTCGATTTATTTTAAATTATTTTAGTTGATTTTCGAAGTACTTAGAAGTAAAATGTATGAAATAATTGTAAAGAAGAGCTTTAAAATATAAAAACAAAAAAAAGGAATTAGTAGAATATCACCCCCAAAGAGAAAAGTTGTCGTATGAGATGTCGGTCATATTTTTGGAAGATTCAATTGGATGGTAGGTGTATTTCTGTACACCTTAGACCAAACAAAATTTGAAATTTCTTCTCTCTCACACTCACACTTTCCCTCTTTTATCACTCTCTAAAATTGATCTTAGAAAAGAAAAAAAATCATGTTATTTTACATTGTTATTCCTGTTGCGAATCTCTTTTTTATTTTTCATCAAGAACTACAAATAAATCGCTATAATAATTATTACTGGTCAACAAACATCCTCATGCATAGCGTTTTAAAATTTCTCACATTTCTAATGGTGGTGGAACCAGCAGCGCTGACAGTGGTATGATATTGACCATATTTATGGATCTTAGGTTCTTGACTAAACTAAATTAATTTGCATACATATGAGAGAATCTTAACTAGCTATTAGGAACAACTACAAATAATCCAATTTAAGTTGGTGTATAGCCCACTGAAAACATTTGTGCCACCGTCTAATTTGAACAAAACTAGATTCTTGGAGAAAGTGAGAGGAAAGAGAGTGAAGCCAACGGTTATAGAAATAATTCAGTAACAGTGTTCTAACTTTAATCTGGTACATCAATGCTTAAATAAGTAACCAAATAAATACAAAATATTTGTTCAAGGAAAAAGGG